AGCCCAGCACTGCAACTTCCCTGCCTCTCTGGGCTGCCTTTGGAATAAGGAGTCCCAATATATTCAGCGAGTCCATATTCAAGTAGGCTGAGAGGTCTGTTTCTTCATTCAGTCCTTCCTCAGTGACAGCATGTGCAGTATGGTAAAATATCCCAACAGCTCTGGAAACTGGCCTACCTAGGGCTCAGCATGCAGCGCTGAGAGGAGTAAACATAAAATAACGCAGTTTGTTTTGCTGTGGCATAGCTGTAACAACACAGGGATGCTACTGGGAATAATGGCAATTACCCAGCAAGTGGTGTTAGCACTACCATATCATTACAGCTTGATAATATGCAATCAAAACTTTATTAGCAGTCATCAGCAGCATCTATTATTCATTGTCTAGATCAAGTTACGAAGGGAAAGGCTGCATTCATGTCAGAAACAGGATTCTCAGCCAGTGCAAGTGCAGGGCCGGAAGCCATTTCCATGGCCATACTGTACCGAGTTATAGGTACAGTATACCTACACTTTAGGATAACTTTCAGCAATCATTCAACTTCCCAATTACCCCCTTTATAAAATTGAGATAATAATATTTACCTATTTCCAAGACATATTACTATGATTAATTAACTCAGGTCTGCAGGTTAGTATTTATTTCTTGATAGCTATCAAAGTTAGAATATTTGATTCTAAGTTTCAAATACAGGTATCTAAAGCTGCATTCATGCAATGTATGCAGGCAGGCAGCTGAGGCTGTAAAATATGCACATCTATATATTCATGCACAAACTGGTGCATAAAATCTATGAAAACAGGCACTCAAGTATCTGTTGTCCTAAGCGCTCTCTTTGATTCAGGTCCTGCATCCCCTAACTATGCTCTATAGCGATGTGTGTGGACTGTGATATGAATAGCACCAGTATGTAAAATTTCATTGCATGCACAATGTGTGAAGATAATATTAGCACCCAGTTTTGCAGTTTTAGCCTCTAACAGTAGTTTTCATCATTAAGTTAATGAGGCCTAGCATGACAGCCAACCTGACCCTTATCCCCAAGACATGCTGCATTTCAGAAACTCTTATAACAAATCTGAAAAACATTCCTCTATGCCTTCTCATTAAGTTACTTATTTTCATTTACATTCAAGACAAAATCAATATGACCTCTGTTTATTTCCCTACTTTGAATCAAATAACCATACAATTTACTCCTACCTTAACAGCTGCTTAATTATTTCCTTAACTACATTAACAAAGTATCAAAAAGAGCAACTATACAAACACTCACTGGTGTTTTCTAAGTACTTACACACTTCCACTTACGCCTCCAGCTCTTCAGTGCAACCAGAAATGACTGCTACTAGTAAAAGGTTGCTAACACTTTCATTCTCCAGCACCATGTTCACTGTTTATCTTATCGGACAACGGCAAAACTATAAGGTAATTAAACCTTAGGTCTCCCAACCCTGTAACCTGACCCACGTGGGCAGGCTTAAATTACCTATATAAATTTAAGAAGCTCTGCAGAGTCGCAGAGCATCACCTAGATCCATTTGCAAAAATCGGGCTTTGTAGGATTTACCTACAAAGGTAACTTGACCACAAACTGCAGCTTTTCTCCACCGCTCCACTCTATTACTCTTCCAGGCAGGGCTGCAACTCCAAGGTCATGGAGCACAACTAACCATCACCGGACCTGCAAGTCGCCTCTCCCTCCTCACTCCCTGATATGCTAAGCCACTAAAGGCTGGGAAAAATAATTAATTTGAGTGATGGGAGAAAAACAGAGACACAGAGAGACAGAGATGAAGAGGAAACATGTTTCAGAGGAAGAAAGGAAAGATTTTTCAAGAAACAACAGCTTATAAATAAATAAATATATAAATGTCAAGCTGTGATAATACTTCCTGATTGGCAAGATAAAAGCGAGAGAACAGTAACATTAAAAAAATTAACCTGGTGGGGGTAGATTGGCTTATAAAGCATGTTTACTCTCATTAGAGAGCAGGCAGGACAGGAGGAGGAAAACACTGGACTCATTCAGGAAGTAACAGGATAGCACCCATTCCCTTCAGGGCACAGAAACCTCGCAGAGATTAACGGTTTTTATCTACCGACAAACTCCCCATAACATTTTCCGCATCTGCTTTACTGTATATTTGTTCTGATGCAAATGAGAGGAGTGCAAAAGAGGAACAAACAAAAAAGGTAGAAAAAATAAAATATGCATTGTACGTTCCGGGCACGCTGCCAGCGCGAGCAAAACAACACAGCTCCTTAACAAACAGGCAGGTTCACCACATTACACCCAATTATTTTACACAGAAAAAAACACCAAAGTTCCCTGACTTTACTGAGAATTTTGTTCAGTATTTATCTTGATTTTCTTTAGCACGTACAATCAGCTGCATCTCAACAGAGGCAGTACTTGACGTTTTTGAACCAGGCTGGCTTGCTAGTCTTGCCTGCACCACTCTGCCCTTAGCGACCTCCTCCTGCGCCAGGGCCCTTTGACAGACACCTGATGAGCTCCTCACCTTTCCGCAGCCGATCCTTCCCTCTCCTGCCCCTCGCCAGCGCCTTCTCAGCAGCCTCACCCTGCACCTAACCCAGCCCTGGTCCAGCCACCTCCTGAGCCCTGCCCCTGCTCTGCCCCCAGCCGCCTCCTGGGACCTGTGCAGCACCCCTGCCTGCCCACCACCGACCTTCAACGGCACCTTGCAGGGAGAGGCCTCCCCCAATTCGACAACAG